GGAATTCCTCGTCCTGAGTTATGAGAGTCTACCTTTTTAAACTCTGGTGCAGTTCGACTAAAATATAAATGCAACACGGACCAAAGACATCTAAATGAACCAAAAACATTCTCTTCTCCTCATAGGAGCTATGTTGCCCATTACAGTTCAGCACTAGGCATCGAAACCTCCATCTCCTTGCAGGAGATCTTCATTTGTGTGTGCAACTGAGGAATTCCTGGTGCTGTTTTGACTCCTTTTTGCATTTTATAAGCTCTTTGAGAGTACTCAACTGGTAAAAATACCACCATATGTACACACAACATACAGTAAGTACATTTAGCCCAGTACACAGCATTGTTTTGAATGTTTGATAGATTTTTTTTTGGTCCAGACCAAACAAACAAAAAAAAAAGCTAAGAGAACCAAACTAGGAGAATCTAAGTGTGAATACACCCTAAATCTTTGCTGACAACTTGCTTTTCCCTGCAAAGTGCAATAGGTTCGATCTGTTTTGACATTTGTATAATTCCACATATTTATGGCTATTTACATTACCAACTGTAATTAGTTGTAATGCAATGACACACAGGTTATAGCTGTCATCATGTGTGTAGTCATCATCCTTATTATAAATTAGTACAGCTTCAGAGATAAATATGTGCAAGACCTCTAGCAAGTGTGTTTCAGAGATGACTGGATTTTGATATACAGAATGTGTAATTGCTCAAAGAGAACTTAAAATCTTTGGTCAACATAACATGTTCTATATAATAAGCTATAAAGAATGTAAGAGAATCAATAAAAAATAACAGCCTGTCTATCAAAAAAGTAAACTGGGTCTTCAATAACTGCCTGAAGCATATTGCCTCAACACACTGACCGAGATTTTAGGATGATGGTCAGAGCGCTTGAGTGCCTCCCTCTCAGATAAGCAAGCAGCTTGTTCTCAGTCTGACACACTTATCTAAAAGGCACAATATGTAATTTTCGCCGCTAGAGGGCGCGTATTCAAAATAAACAAAGAGGCAAAACGTAGTTTGATGACTCCGTGACTGAGTGTGGAATCATGGGAGTTGTGGTCTTCACACACGGCTCGAAAGCAGCGGCGCTTTTATTATGCCACAGTCGACCGCTTCCGCTCCTTCCGGAAAGTAGCGGAAGGAAGCAGCGCTGTTTTATCATACTAGATACATTTGAAAGTTCTGTTATTATGCTACTCTGTGCGGTCGTCACCGGTCTATTAAAACACACACCATATAGTAAAGCTTCTTTGGTGTTTCCATGTTTTCTACAAAACAAAACCGGAAATTGAGGGGTTATGACGTCATTGGCAGGCGACACAATGACACTATGGACACGGTCCGTGTCACTAGTTAAAATTGCTTATTTCTCTGGATTTAAACATTCTTCGAAACATTTGGGATAATGTAAGTACACAGGTCAGCAAAATATATAACACTGTTCTAGTGGTTTTTGGATATTTTAATAAAAAAATCTTACATATTGTGCTTTTAAGCAGGCTATATCCACTTCATTCAGCTCACCAAACTGATATGCACTGAGCAAACAATAGCTTTCACTAACAATCACAGCTTCCTGTTGGACAGGCCCAGTCTTTCCATGCGGAAATCAGCATGCAAAGAGAAGATCCTGTGAGTTCCTCTTGTGCAAAGAAAATAAAAGATTATTAAAGACTTGAAACTGTGTGCCTTACAGGGATTCTTAAAGGGGTCATACAATAAGAAACTATAAAAGTTTGGCATCATGAAGATTTTTTTCATGTTTTTGAAGGAAGTCTCTTATGCTCACTAAAGCTACATTTATTTGATAAAAATACAGTAAAATAGTAACACTGTGATTGGTATTACAAATTAAATTGTTTTCTATTTTAATATATTTTCAAATGCAATGTATTCCTATGATGGCAAAGCTGAATTTCAGCAGCAGTTACTCAAGTCTTCAGTGTCACATGATCCTTTATTGTGTTTTTGAGGGAATTTATATATATATAATTTCACTGTTGACCCTACCCCTACACCTTAACCCACTCTTAAACCTAACCATAACACCAAACAAATACCTAACAATTAATTATTTATTTTATAATTATATTTAACGTATCTACACACCTAACATTAAGTGGGAACATATGTGTGTATTTTAATTTTACACTTACTTTGAGCACTTTAGACACGGTTAGTTAGAAAGTTAGAATAAAGTTTACTATTAGTATAAAGTTTATTTGCCAAAAAAAGTCACTTTTTTATATGACCCCATGTTTTGAGTTCAGAAAGTTGCAGACGCTTTCATAGTACATCAGGCTATCTTAAGAGATCAATTTCAAATCATTTTTCAAATGGCTTCCCTTAACAAATATAAATGATGGAAAAATCTGTCACACCTAATAAGTGACCAACCAGATTAAGAAAAAAAATATTCTTAAAAAAAAGAAAAAGAAAAATAAGTTGCCAGCTTGTTTTAATGATCCGTATTGTCCAGAGAAAATGAAGTCAATCTTCAGATTCTGCATGGCTCACGGACGTTGGCTTGGCAGGCCTTTAGACAGATGGAGGAAGAGGTAGTGACTGCTCCCGACTACAGATGAGACCATCTGCACCTGCTTCAGCTATACAGTTCAGTGCCTCTGCAGAAAAGTGACTCAATTCAACATCACTAGCCGATTAATCAGTCCATTTTGAGTTTATCGCCTTCGGCCAATAACTATGTCCACATGGCCATGTAATATTTTTTCCTCTTTTGATAGAATCTTGATAGGTCTATAATCAGCCTTCAGTCACCCTGATATCTCGATCAGGCAGGCTATTGACATTGTCCTGTTATTAAAAACACATGGTTGGTTTGACCAATAATCATGACATTAATAACATCTTAGCAAATCTCTGGTATGTTGAACTGAACTTTTAACTATAATCAACTGCAGTGCCCAAAATGATGGTGTCATACCTGCCCACGAAATTTTCCAGGACAGAGCTTTTCCCTGCGCTCTGACCCCCGACCACCGCGATCTGCGGCAGGTCCAGGTCGCAGGTCTGTCCGATGGCACTGAAGGCGTCCTGCAGCCGGTTCACCAGCGGGATCAGCTCCTCCATCCCCCGGTTGCCCATGGTTACGGAGCCGCGAGGATGCGGCCGGCGCGCGAACCACCGGGCGCAGCAGACAATTCTCCTTTGCTATATTAAAATATACATTACAATTGAGAGAGCGAGAGAGAGAGAGAGAGAGAGAGAGAGAGAGAGAAAAAACAACGTGCCAACTTCAAATAAGGGAAGTTTTTCCCCCCCCAGACATAGCTGCCCATGGTTACGGAGCCGCGAGGATGCGGCCGGCGCGCGAACCACCGGGCGCAGCAGACAATTCTCCTTTGCTATATTAAAATATACATTACAATTGAGAGAGCGAGAGAGAGAGAGAGAGAGAGAGAGAGAGAGAGAGAGAAAAAACAACGTGCCAACTTCAAATAAGGGAAGTTTTTCCCCCCCCAGACATAGCATTTTAAAGCAAAACCACTAAAATAATACTGCGTAACTTAAAAATACAAATTTTTTCTTTACAAAGTAAACGTATTGAACGTACTAACCAGTTTAGTTTGTAAATCACAGTTTAATTACCTGAAATTAGTTTTTCCGAGCGTTTGGTCCTAACAGACGCAGCAGTTGAGAGTAACGGCGCTCGTGAGCAGCAGCGACTGAACTTTAAAGCACACACACACACACTTTACGACGAACCCAAAGAAACTATAAGGCGACATATAAAGAAACCACATGAACTCTCTCCAGTGGAAGTCGCTTGTTTTATCCGTTCGTTTGTCCTGAACTCAACTTAAGGTCGAAAACCTGACAGCAACTGTCCGCTCGTGGAGTGCGCGTGCGCGTTCTCGCGCAGCCACTCCTCTGATCAGAATCTGGAGGTACAGATTGGTTCTATCTTTTTTTATTATTATTATTATGTAATGCACACAGATGTATGAGATACAAAAATAAAATAAAAAATATCCGAAGTCATTTGAAAAAGTAAAAAGTGACGTAGGTTAGTCTACTAGTAGCACTGTCCACAATCTGAACGATTTCAACCACAGCGGCAGGTAGATCAGATCTGTATATTAATAATAATATGTACAAACGCAAACATCAAATGCAACTGGTTACTCTTACGATTCAATTCAGCAAAGTCAAAACTTAAAAAAGTGATTACTTCTATCACTCAGTCATTTTATCTTATTTACTCTGCCGTTATTTTGCGTCGCTCGATTGTAGTGTAAACAGTGCACGTGCCCGAGATAAAGAATAGCGGAAAACATACTATTGTTACGAAATTACATCAATATAATATAAGTGAAATTAGATAGAGTTTTTAAGTCAAGAATAAATAGTAACATGGAACACCAGAAGTGGTATAAACAAAGCTAAATTATATATAAAATTAGAATTGTTTCCATAATTTACAAGCAAACTAGGATGCTACTATATGTTTATTATTTAATTTGTTTTTATGGCCCGCCACCCCTTCAGTGCATGACACTGTAGGGTACATCCACCCTCATTTCAGTATAATAGGCTCATCCAGTAAAAATAACACTGCACAGCCATTACAGGGTTGCCAGATAGTTTGCTTCTGTATGAATTCTACAGTGCATTTCACTTTACACCAGTACTAAATTTCGTTTATTGTGTCAGTGAGTGAAGAATTCCTAAAAGGTATATACGACTATAAAAAATAAAATAAAATAAATAAAAACCTGATATTTAATGTCAATGAATTTATTATTTTGGTTTTATTTATGTTTCAGGTCCATTAGCCCGATTCACTCGTATTGTTTGATGAAAGAATGACTTTGAGACAACACTATTTTCTTTAAAATTTTGTTTTTAAGGTTGTTTAAACTTAAAACAGTCCAGCAAGATATAATGTAAACTGTAAATTATCATTATTGGAGTTTTTACGAAAATATTATTTTACAAGAAAATAGTATTTCAGTCTTTCTACCTCAAAATGTAATTATTATGTGCAGTTGTTTATTTGTAATTATTTGTACAAATTTATCAGCAATTTCTGAGAGAAATTTTTCACCTCCAAATTCTTTTCAGTGTACTGACCCTTACACTTAATTTTATCTGAACATAAAGTGTAATCCCTATATTGCCATCATTTGTCCCATAAAGTGCAATGGTGATGATGGATCTTTCCATTTAGATATAGATCATCAATGCTAAAGATTGTTATATTTTCATATATACACAATATATGCTTAAACTTTTGACATTATTTTGCTGTGTTCTTTCAAAGGGCAGGAAAAGAAGGCTTTCATTTATTTCAGATGGAATTTTCCCTGAAATGCTACACGATGTCTAAACAAACTGTGATAGTTGCTTGAAATATATGTCAGACAATCTCTTCCTTTCCAAGTAGACATTGTGTTTTGTTTTTTTCTGGAATAAGATAAAATATGGGCCAGGCTGTATGCCACTTTGTCAAAGGTCTTGTGACATAAGACTACAGCCAAGTTAATTTCTTAACCTTGAAAATGATGCACAACCAGATGTTTATTTTATTATTTTTGATTTTCGCTCCAAACTTTTCTCAATCTTTAGATGACTTTCAGGTCATTCAGCATTGCAGTAATGTCTATTTGAGGCACACATGGTGCAGTCTGGGTGTTGGCACGTAGTGTCTTCTGTAGGTCTTTTGCTGTCTGCTGTAATGTTTGTGGAATGGTGTGAGGTTTGTGTCCCTCTCCTGAACTTCTGCAGCACAGCAGCACCTCATTGACTTCGCCCTCGATTCCACGAGAGAACACACACGGGAACACAGCTTGAACACGTTCAAGAACTGACTTCCTGAGAGCCGAGTCACGACACACTAGGTTCAACATGAACAGTCCTGTGGGAGAAACAAAAGAAGAGTGATCATGGGGGGGAATGTACAATATACAAAATATCTCAGCATCAGAACTCTCAATGAAAAAGTATCAAAACTGATCATACAACTTTAAGTGCTTACCTCGAGGGGTTAATAAGCTGTAAACTTTCTTCAGAAGTGATGTTTCTACAAAGGCAGGTGGAGGGCAGCTCATGCCCAGGGTGGTGTCTTTGCTATCAACGTCAAACATGATGACATCAAAAGAATGTCCCCCTATATAAGTGCAAAAAAAATTACACTGTAGATACAGTAACTTAGTAGATCATTTGGTAGTGAAGGAATAGGTTATGCAGCCAAACACATAAATATCTCTTCCACATAAAACAGATGACCAATAGATATCATGATTCTCCCACGCATTAAGAAGCATAACAAATACAGGAGTTCATGTAGATGGATGCAGATTTATACTTTGATTGAAATCTATACATTATATTATATGTACACAGATAAATGAGGTTGCCACATTTTTATGACAATAAAGTACTCGCCAGCTTTTTTTTTCTTTTTTCAAAAAGCATCAGCAAACTTTAAAGGGGGCCTATGACTTAAAATCACTTCAAATGAGACAAAAGAAACTTTAAAATGACCCAAAAAATCTTATAGTAATTAACTTCCTCAATAGCTTTTTTTTTCTTTTCTCCACGGTCTTGGAAAATCTAGATATATGAGGTAGCCCATTTTTTAAATTTGTTTTCAGACCTGAAAATTAAAAATTGTCAAAATTGAAAATTAATTGTCGAAATTGAGAGTAAAACATTTTTTTAAGAAACTTTATCCTTATCCAGTAAATCACGAAAACTGGAAAAACATGAGGCCTTCGGCTATTGTTGTGGATAATAGGGGGCCTTGGAGTCAAAAAGGTTTAGAATTACTAAATCTAGATGTTCTCTCACCCTCACTCTCCAGTGTTTTGATGTGCTCCAGTCCATCTGCCAGTGTAACATTTAGCCTCTCATCGGTCTGAAATCCAAACCAGGTCTGAGCCACTTCCAGCACAGCTGGGTCCAGTTCAACCACCTCCACCCGTGCACACGGCACAAAGTCATGCACAAACTGGGGTAAACCACCGCCACCCAGTCCCAGCAATAACACAGACACTGGGTGATCTGTTGGAAAACATGTGACAGACTAATCAGAATAGATTTTTTTGTGAATTATGCAAATTGTGCAACTGACATTCATCACCATTATAGTGTTCAATGTGATTCATGAGCTGTATTTCAGTCTTCTGAAGTTATACAACATCTTTGTGTAAGGAACAGACCAAAATCTACCAGTTATCAATCACTGTATCAATGTACTGTAGTAACCAAACATGCTGTGCCTTTAGACAATTCTGGATACATGCTAGTAGAGCTGCACGACTCAGAATCACAATTCTTTTGGTTAAAACAGACATCACGATTCTGAACAGACAACTACAACAATATAAAGCAATTTATAAGAGGTTCTGACAAAATGTTAATTGCTGCAGTCTATTCTAGAATTATTTTTAAAAATTCTGTTTGAATGTATGATTCGATGACTTACTCATAAAGACTTAACATGAATGAATAAGCTTTTTTGAACAAATCCTTGAATGAACTATTCATTGACAAATACATTTTTTATCAGTCACTTGTCGCCATCTACTGGCGGAACGATGTATTGATACAATCTATATTTGAAGTTAGATATCAGTGTTTATACCGAAACTAAAAACTTTTATCATAGTTCTTCTGTGAATTTAGGATTTTTGTAACAGAAATAACCATACTGTGTGCTTTCACTGTTTGTGAAGCTGTTTCATACCTGTACATGACAACTGTTCTCTCTGGGTCAGCGGCGGAGCAAACACAGATTTAATTGTTCTGCTCTGATCGTATTTTTCAAAGGTTTCATAGAAACTGCTGAATCATTGTTATGTAGGACTAAGATTGCGTGGGTGCTTAAATCAAGATCGCAATCTTTTAAAGATTAATCGTGCAGCTATACGGGCTAGATGCAAGATTTAGGGAAGGGCAAAATTCTGTCCATTCCATAAACAAATCATACTTTGCAATATAACATATGCACTACAAACTTTTATGAGGATGTTATTTATTTTTGATGTTTTTTGACAGCCCCTGGTCATTATGAACTGATGTTATATGACAACAGCTGCATAACAATTGTTTCAAAAACTTCTGTGTTCCATGAAATAAATAACATTACATTATAACCAAATTTTGGGGGACATTAACTATTTTTTAAAAGTTCTGTGGTACTAGCAGCAGTAAAATTGCAAACAGAACTGTAAACATGATACATGTTGCTTTAAAGAGACAGTGTTTACACTCTTTAATAAATTAATAGTTGTAATTTTATTAATTAATATGTTACACAACCTTTAAAAGGTTTTGGGGTTAGTAAGATTTTTATTTGTTTGTTTATTTATTGAAAGAAATTCATATTTATATTCAAGAAGGACAAATTAAACTGATCAAAAGTGACATGCATAATGTCACAAAATAGCTCTATTTCAAATAAATGCTGTTCTTTTTAAAATGTTCTATATATCAAGGAATCTTGAACAAAAATGTATTATGGTTTCCACAAAAATTATTAAGCAGCACTTTACCCTTCCAGGCAATAAATAAAATCCATTTTAAAATATATTCAAATAGAAAACAGTTATTTTTAGTTATTTTTAGTAAAAATAGTTTTTTAATTGGCATAGCAGTAAACAATATTTCTGGGTTTTTTTCTGTATTTTTGATGAAATAAATACAGCCTTAGGAAACATAAAACAGCCTTCTTTAAAAAAAATAATAATAATCTTATCGACCTCAAACTTTTGAATGGTAATGTGTACTTTAAGACTTATATTGTTGAATACATATTTAGCCAGGACATCACTATAGTATTTAAAAAGTTAAATGATAGCATCCCTTTTGAATGCAAACGCTTTAAACTTTCACTAGGCTTTTTAATGCTAGCACACTTACCTTTATTATTGATTGCATCCATTCCTAACATGGCTAAACCCGCCACCATAACTTCATGGTGTATACAGCAAAGAAAACCTCTGTCCACAATGCGATCTTTAACACGCGTTAAAGCAGGGGCATCAGAAACAGATGGTTTGGATTTTTTCTTGTTCTTCTTTTTATGAGCAGAAGCAGCTAGCAAAAGAGACCAAACACTGAAATAAATCTCGTTGTTCTATAAGCATTGCAGAATTCAAGCACAGCGGTACCACACCTGTGCCGGCAGACCGGAGTCTGCTCTCTGACTGCACCAGCTGGGAATTGTTCATGAAGATCAGCCTGCGATAGAGGTGACCATCCTCTCCTCTCACATCCTCCACAGAATACTCCCCAGTCAAAGCACTGACCCCTCGCCCGATGACTTCCCTCCACCCCAGATCTCCTCCCACAGACAGGAACGGCACCTATACCAGAGGAATTGTGAAAGAGAGTGCACGCATGAGTGCGAAATGAGGACAAGATCAAGAGCAAATACCGAGCAATGCATGTTGTTCCTGTGCACCTGCTGATTGGCTGGCATTCCAGGAGGCGCGAGTTCCGTCACCATTGGAGAGAGCTCTGATTGGACAGCCTGCATGTCCTCATACTCCTGATCTCTATGCATTGCCACAATGACCAGGCGTCTGAATTTTGCACTGGATGCTAATTGAGTCCGACCTTCAGCCGAGCCATATAACCAATCAGACTCACGGCCCTGAGGAACTAAAAATAAAAAAGTAAAATTTATGAAAAAAGTAAAATTGTATATACTCACATTCAGTGACACAAACAAAATAAAAATATTATAACATTTCATTATATCTGTTATATTATAATATTTATTTTTCTTTATGTGTCACAGTACTCTCGTGAATGCCGTTGAAGACTGACACGGAAGAGAAGAAACTGTTGAATAAACTAATTATTTTTGTTTTCTTTCCACACAAAAAGTATTCACAGAGCTTCATAAAATTACAGTTGAACCACTGATGTCACATGGACTATTTTAACGAACAATGTCCTCACTACCTTTCTGGGCTTTGAACGTGTCAGTTGTGTTGCTGTCTATGCAGGGTTAAAAAGCTCTTGAATTTCATCAAAAATATCTTAATTTGTGTTTGGAAGATGAACGACACGAGGGTGAGTAATTAATGACAGAAGTTTCATTTTTGGGTGAAATATCCCTTTAATTCTGCAGTTAACCAATCAGATTCAATAATTCCATTGATATTTGTAATAGTGTGCAACAGTTCCTGCACACATTCTTCCTTTAAGAGTTCAAAGCCATGAACCAAACCAACAAGTTACCAAGATGAATCACATTATTACAGATTGATTAGTTGATGTGAAGCAAGTAAGTATTTGAAAACTGGACAAAAATGCACAAAAAAAAGTACAAAACTGGGAAAGAGCTACAATCTGATGAAGCCTTGCGAATGACTAAAATGTTCTTTTGGCATGATTTGCATATTTCAATTCCCTAAAGATTTCAGTTGCAGAATCATGGGTAATGTAGTGTTTCACCATGAACTTGATTGTTAAACATAATTATTTAAAAAATAAGTTGAAATAACACATGCTGACAGTTTCAGCAAAAGCATATGCCACTGATTAATAACCTTGTAGTGCATAGTCAAATTATTAAAATCCGTTCTGCTATGGAGAAAATGAATGGGATTTTTACTTCCAGAATCCAACTGCTGCACTCTGTCAACCCTCTACGCACACCTTGGCAATATAATCGCCATTGGAAAATCTAAGAATTTATTAGCCAATGGCTAATGTTAGACATTATTTGGTCGCCCAGAGTAAGATTTAGTCGCATATGCGAGTGATTTACTCGCAATGTAGAGGGTTGTCTGTATATAGGTAAATATACTTGGCCTATGACAGTGATCTTCGCAATGAAAAGGTAAAAGAACCAAATGCTCACCGATAAAGATGGCGAAGTGATTACTCCGTGGCAGCTTGGCAGAAGGCAGGCTATCCTGCACTGTCAGAGTGTATCGCGGTCGGCCGGTGGCTGCATGGCACAGCGTGAGGGACGGTGTGCTGCTAGCATCTGTTCCCCCTCTGAGCTTATGCAGCATTAGATTGTAGGCCTGTCTCTCCTTCACAGCGGACAACAGCTCCGGTACTGATGCAAGTCTAGTGGGAGCGCCATCCTCCCCCTGACACAACTCAAGCACTGCAAACGGAGGCGCTTGGCGGAATTTGGTGCAGACCAGAACGAATACAGGGAGGGCGAATGAGGAATCAGACTCTTCCTTCTGCTGTCCGCCAAGACAATGAATTCGTACAGCCCAGCCCTGGGCGAAATGTTCCACAGCCAGCTTTATGACGTGCTCCTGGGCTAAAGTTACGCAGACATACCGGCCTCCCACAGACAAAACTCTGCCAACTTCTGCCAGCATCCTGCCTGCAAGTGCACCGTCCTCTTCTGAAGCCATGGCATCGAGCGTGCCCTTATCTAGTGCCGCCTGAAAGCTCCCGTTCTCAAAGCCTGTCTGGGTGGCATCCAGCTGCTGGAAGGTCAGGTCAGGACGGCGCTCTGCGTTCCGCTGGTTCATGTGCGACACCACCGTCTCGCTGATGTCAATGTTGGTTAACTGATGGTAGCCAACATCATAGAGCTGTTCACTCAGCTCGGAGTTACCACAGCCCACCACCAACACCTGCAGCAGAGAACAAGAGTTACAATTCTAATTATAAGTTTACATAACTCTTGTACAATCTACAAGATGTTTATTATTATTTTTATATATCAGAAAAAATGCGTTTTTATTTTGGTTTCTTTATTGGCTATTAAAAAAAGAGTTCAGTCATTATTTACTGAAAATATCCCTGATATACTAGCTCTTCTTAACATGTTCATGAAGGAATTACAGAATTATCAAAAGAATCATTCTGTAGAATCAGATTTTCAATGAATCAGTTGTTCTAGTTCACAAAACTGCCTTAGAAACTTATTTGAACCACTTTAATCATATATATTTAATAATATATGGTACTTTTACAGCATTTGCACGTCTGAAAACGGCATAGAACAGATCAGCCGGTACAATTCTTCAAAATTTCTCAATTTTGTGTTCCAAAGAGGAAAGAAATTAATGTTTGAAATGAAATGAATTATGAAATAATATACATTTTTTTTAAAGTTCAAAAGTTACAGGTTGGCATTTGACAAAAAATACAGTTGAAACTGTGCTACAAAGCTGAAACTGCGAAATATCATTACAATTGAAAACAACAGAATTCTAATTTAATATATTTTTAAATGTAATTTATTCCTGTGATGCAAAGCTGATTGAATGATTTCAGCATCATTACTCCAGTCTTCAGTGTCACATGATCCTTCAGAGATTATTCTAATATGCTGATTTGGAGCTTAAGAAACAGTCTTAGTTACCTTATCACGAGGTTTAATGTATTTATGCAGTACACCGCAGAGGGAGTTGTAGTCTCCGTACCATTCGAAAGCCTTCTCTCCTCTTTTACGGAAAAAGCGCTCCCAGTAGTCCGCAGAGCTGAACTCCTCAGCGGTGCGAGGCAGCAAGCTCATGCTTATTGATCAGATCCTCCTGTTCACTTAATCTCAATTCAGATTTATCAGATGAATTATAACCTTTTTCCCAGGCCGATAAAAACTACTTTACTAAGTACTTTAATGGGCAAATACTGGTGAAATAATTTCTATTCTACAGTCGTTGACATGTGATGACGCTCTCCCACATGTTTTGCACTTTCCACCCGGAGTGATTTTACAGAAGGACGGCACTGAGCATCCAACGATTGGTCAGTGTGTGAGGAGGGCGTGTCTAGAATGTGGTGAACTCGTTCCCTGATTGGTGAAAGTTTTTGATCAATGAATACGATTGGTTTGTGGTGTGACGGAGCCGAGTGTTTTACAGTTCCGACAGTGAGTTGTTGACCGAAGTGGGAGTTTACACTAATTATTATTATTATTTTTTTTTTAGTTCTTCCTATTCCATCAATGGTCCACACTCCAGCCTAGTAGGTGGCGGGAATGCACCTATCGTTTGTTTGCCAACCGCCATAAAACTCCAAAAGAAGAAGAAGAAGAGTTGTTGACCGAAACAGGCTGAAGCATGGCAGTACCTACCGGCAGAGCTGTGGTATTCGTTACCGGGAACGCGAAAAAACTGGAAGAGGTGAGAGTGCGGCGTGTTTAAAAATATCGATTCAGCCACAAACTATCCAATTTAAACACAATGTAAAATTAAATGTGAATAAGTGTCTTGACTTGCATTTATAGTCTCTGCTCACATGCCATGAAACACTGTAAGATTAGTTTTGTGAAGCTTCATAAATAGTGAAATGTCCAGTAATCACTTCTCACTCCTAAATAAACGCCTAGCTGGTTAGTGGTTTATATAGTCTCAAAGATGATATTTAGATTACAGTTGACTTCATGCACACGTTTGAGCTATTTGCATAAATGGGCTACAAAACACGGCCTGGATTATTATTTATTCGTTCATTTATTTGTTTATGTTATATTATTTATATGGTCAGTGTGGTACTTCAAATAATTTTCAATGAACTTTGTAATTTTGCAACCCTGATATCCAAATTTGGGGCTGGTCTAAATGCAGATTAATGCCATGAACTTTTCTAACAATAGACGATAAAATAAACATTACATTGAGTAGAAAAAAATTGTTTAAAAATGGGTCAAAATTTGGGTTAAAATAAAATATGACTTTGTAAAAAGGTTAAGCACAAAATTATGTTATCAAAAAGATATTTAGGACTGCAAAACAATTAATTGCGATTAATCGCATTCAAAATAAAAGTTTATGTTTACATATTATATGTGTGCGTATTGTGTATATTTATTGTGTATATATAAATACACACACACACATGTATATATTAAGGAAAATATTTTATATTTATATATATATATATATAAGTGTAAATATATATAAATATATACATATATATGTGTGTATTTATTTATACACAATAAATATACACAATACACACACATATTGTATGTAAACATAAACTTTTATTTTGAATGCAATTAATTGCGATTAATCGTTTTGCATCCCTAAAATTATTTTACTTGTTGAATCTGCCTATCAATCTAATAATCTCTTGTTCAAACAGGTAGTTCAGATCCTTGGTGACAAATTTCCCTACAAACTGGTTTCTAAGAAGATTGACTGTAAGTACTTGCTTGGCTATTATTCTTCTGCTTTGTTGACTTAAAATATCAAGCATGCCATTGCTGTATTTGTAAAGTGATTATGTCCTCTCTTGCAGTGCCTGAATATCAAGGGGAACCAGATGATATTTCTATACAGAAGTGTCAAGAAGCTGCAAGGCAGGTTTGTAAATTGTGCATCTTTTTACTTGGTTGATGCCTCAAACATGATGTTATGTGTTTTGTGTGAAGGTGGATGGGCCAGTGCTGGTAGAGGACACCTGTCTGTGCTTCAGGGCACTAGGAGGACTACCAGGACCTTACATGTGAGTCTGGCTCCTTTAAATTCTGTAAATATAAAACAGTGATAAGGTGTAAGTATGTTGCACAGTGCATTAAATTATGTAATGTTTTTTCGCTCTTCACAGAAAATGGTTCTTGGATAAACTGAAGCCAGAGGGTAAGGCGTTACTACTGAATACTTTTATTTTAGGTTAATTGTCAGTCATTTTTATGAGTTTTTTTTTTTTTAGTTTTAGCTTTAGTTCAGTTTTAGTTTTTATTATTTTTGAGTTTTTTGTTTCTAAATTTTAACTAAATGTAAACTTATTTCCATTAGCTGCCTAGTCAACATTTCTGATTTTCATTTAGTTTATATTTAATACTTAATATTATTATTTTATGTTATTTTTATTTTAGCTTTATTTCTTAAAAAGTCATATTTAGAGGCATAGGCAAAAATAGGAATATGCAAATTGAGCTGTTTTCTTTATGTTTGTAGGTTTGTATAAATTGCTAGCAGGTTTTGAGGATAAATCTGCCTGGGCTCTGTGTACATTTGCTTTCTGTGCTGGAAAAGATGAGCCAGTCCAGCTGTTCAGAGGAAGAACTGAGGTGAGCATGTTTATTTACTCTCGTGAAGTAGTGGTTTTTACATTGAGCTTTGGTGCCCATACAGGCATTGTTTGCCCTCTCTTTTCCCCATAATTTTCTGTCTTTACTATCATTCAATCAATAAATAAACTGAATCCAGATGTACGGTATATAAGCACCAGTACCACAAATGTATAATGTACACTACCACTCAAAAGTTAAGGGTCAGTAAAATGTATTAATGTTTTTGAAATAAGTGTGCCATGCTCACCAGGAATGCATTTATTTGATTGAAATATAGTAAAACCAGTATTATTGTGAAATATTGCAATTTTAAATAACTAATATTTAAAGTTTTCCATTTTAATATATTTTAAATGTAATTTTTCCTGTGATGCAAAGCTGATTTTCAGCATCATTACTCCAGTCTTCAGTTTCACATGAACATTTATTATGATTATCAGTGTTGTCACAATGTTGTTGTTATCAATTGTTACCACAGTTGTGCTGCTTAATATTTTTGTGGAAACTACTGTGTGACACATTTCTTTCCAGAATTTCTTAATTAATTGAAAGTTCAAAAGAACAGCATTTATTTGAAATCGAAATCAAAACACTATAAATGCCTTTAATGTCTCTTTTGATCAATTTAATGCATCCTTGCTGAATAAAAGCATTTATTTCTTTCAACAAAATCTTACTGTCCACAAACTTTTGACAGGTAATATATATAAATGTGTTACGTTGAACACTAATAATAATAATAATACTTTTTATTTATAGGCGCCTTTCAGGACACCGTACAATGTAAAACAAAGCAATACAAAAAAACATACAAAAAGCGAACATTATAACAACACATTAAATAAGCAGATCATTAAAAGCTACTCTAAACAAATAAGCTTTTATCTGAACTTTAAAATGGGAAACTGAATCCAGCTGGCGAATGTGCAAAGGTAAAGAGTTCCATAACTTCGGCACTGCACAACTAAAAGCCCTACCACCAAAGGAACTCATCTTGAATTTTGGAACAGACAATAAGTCTGCAGAAGATGATCTCAAAGAGCGCAAAGGAGTATACAAATGAAGAAGATCTGAAAGATAATTAGGTGGCAAATTGTGAAGAGCTTTGTATGTAAGAAGTAGAATTTTGTAATGTACACAATAACGAAAAGGAAGCCAATGCAGCTGGAAAAGAATTGGAGATATATGATCAAAAGTACGTGAGCGGGTAACTATCCTAGCTGCTGAATTCTGGATTACCTGTAATCGATTAAGTTGTTTTTCAGGAATTCCAAATAAAAGAGAATTACAATAATCAATCCAAGATGTAACCAATGCATGGATAAGCACTTCAGTACTATGTTGGGAAAGTGAAGAACAAAGTCTGGCAATGTTGCGTAGATGAAAAAATGCAGATCGTGAAATATTACTAATATGAGGACTAAACGAAAGCAAACCATCCAGTATAACCCCAAGACTTTTCACCTGGGTAGAAAAATTGACTGGGCAATTATCAATAACCAAGGTAAAGTATTGAGTTTTAGATAAAACAGACCTAGAACCTAGAACAAAGAGGGCTTCAGTTTTATTGGCATTTAACTTAAAAAAATTATTAGTCATCCAGATATTAACGTCCTGCAAACATTTAGTGAGGTCAGGAGGGGGATGAGAAACATTAGGTCTTCGGGATATATACTTGTGTGTCGTCAGTGTAAAAATGGAAATTAATACCATAAGAACATAAAATATGACCAAGAGGTAGAATATAAATGATAAATAAAAGCGGACCCAGCACCGACCCTTGTGGAACGCCATGATTAACTGAGACGGGATCTGAATGTGTATTCTTAATCTGCATAAACTGTTTTCTGTCACTTAAATAAGATGAGAACCAAAGAAGCGCATTAGCTATTCCAGTGCAAGCCAGCCGTTCCAATAGTACTGAATGACTAATAGTATCAAAGGCAGCACTAATATCTAGAAGAATAAGAATAGACAGAAAACCAGAATCAGCAGCTAGGAGAAGATCATTTATAACCTTGACAAGAGCTGTTTCTGTAATATGTTTGGGTCAAAAGCCTGACTGGAAATGTTCATAAATGTCATTACTTTGCAGATGTGCTTCAAGTTGAGCTGCTACTGTTCTTTCAAGTATTCTTAAATAAAAGGGAGATTAGAAATAGGCCTGTAATTATTTAAATCATTAGGATCAGCGCCAGTTTTTTTTAAGAATTGGAGAGTGATAGAGGCCCTTTTTTAATGATGGAGGAACAGTAGCAGTTGATCATGAAGAACACACTATAGCTGTAATAATACGTTGAAAACTATAGCATGCAGGTTTTGATTCCTACCTCCAACATTTCTAATAATTTTTTTCAGGGCCGTATTGTTGAGCCCAGGGGCCCAAGGGATTTTGGGTGGGATCCTTGTTTTCAGCCTGATGGCTATGAAAAAACGTGAGTATCTTCTCATAACTTTGCAGTTGTGTTTCTCAGGTTCACCAGTAGGTGACAGTATTGGTCAAAGTAAATCTCAACTTGACTTTGATTTAACCAAATCTACAAATATTTATGAAAGACTTTTCCTACAGTCCATGTTATCACATTATAAGAATAGATAAAATTAGCACTTAAAGCCCTTTTTATTTTGATAGTGATTTTGTTTTTCTCATTCCTTTGTGCTGTGTTTCTGTGGGCAGTT